AGACCTGAATTGACTATCAACAGAAGATTATTGTTCATATTGTGTTCTTCAGGGACAGTAGCACCCGTTTTTATCCTGGCTTAGAGGAATATATGCCAATCAAAAGCTGGCTGGATCGTGCCATGATGAAATATGGTGGAAGTTATTTGGATACTGATATAGAGGAAGTTAAAACAGTTTCCAAGATCATGGCCATTTTTGTAATCCTTATTCCTTATTGGGCAATATATTTTCAGGTAAGTAGTTCATCTGTAACCGGGAACTAGCATGAACTTGCTTTCTGCTGTCTGGCAATCGCTGCAGGGCTTGAAAAAACCTTGAATTCCAGCTTGCCCTTGGGACAAGTAGCTCTCAGAGTTTTCTTGCCCTGGGCAAGTCCTAGTTTGCTCTTTTAATGATATCAATGACAGACAACTTACCTCATCAATTGCCCATAGGGCGAGTAGGAATGAAAAGCTACTTACAGTACCCAGAGGAAACATCTACTTGTCCTGGATGACTGGACCACTTTTTTGAGCCCTGAGCCGAGTTCTCTTTCTTTAAATACGGCCATCTTCAAGATTTCATTCATTGTACCTTTCAATAACAAACTCTGAAGTTTAAAACCTAACCATTGAGTACATCTATGCAATCATTATTACGACACCAACCAAAAAACCTTGATAAGAAAAAGAAACAAAATTGAACAAATTCTACCAATTACAACCCACAGATGTGACCTTTGAACCCCTTGAAAGTAAACTTCTGTTTCCTGAGAAGTCTCCTAAGGTGATTGATGGCAGCAAAACACGGAGCCATTGACTGAGCATAGTTTGAATGTTATTGAAAGGTGCAGTAAACCACCATATGATTCTCACAGTGTACAGCAGTCAATGTAATAACAATTTTGTAAAACTAGTTGAAACTTCCAGAAAGAGACACTTTTGGAAGGTGTTAGATTATACTCTTTTTGTTTGGTTGCATGCCTAATGAATGTCTATCTGGTACAAGCTAATAGTTTTCAGTCTTACTTTTCATTCTTGTTGGTTTTTAACTATATTATATTTTTAATTATATTGTCAGGCTTTTTAATAGTTCATTAGGAAATAGTAGGTTATTAATTATACTAAGTGTCCCCAATAGTAGAGGGTTTTTTTTTCCCATCGGCTAGATATAAAGACATGTTAATAAAGTTTATGTATGTATGTATGCCTAACTTCTGTATACCACCCTGTGTCATTCTAAAACATTAAATCAGCATCATGCCAGTATACATATATAACTCTTGCTTCCATACAAGTATTACTGACTGGTCGAATTTGAGAGCAGGCAAAGCCGGTAATGTTTATAGTCCAATATAGGTAACCATTCCCCCAGAATAAAATTGTTCTCCAGGTTTTCCTAGCAGTTTGTCCCTCCCAATTTATACACCTGGCTAGAGGGAGGCATTTTGTGAAAGTCAAGTGTCTTTTCCCAAGAACATGACAGGAAATCTCCACAAACCTCCACCCTTGGATCTCTCAATTTGGAGGATGTAGCTGGAGGAATATAACGTGATGATTATTGACTATTTTCTTTTAGATGAATTCCACATTTCTGCTTCAAGGGCTGCACATGAGAATAATTCTACAAAAGGACAGCACTGAAGATTTAAGTGGTGTTTCTCCTGCATGGCTCTCTGTAGTGGATATCATTTTTGTACTGATCTTAATTCCTATTTTGGATAAGAGGATTTATCCATGGCTTGATAGCAAAGGATGGAGTTTAATTGTATTCACTAGAATTTCAATTGGTAAGTTCAGTGACCATTTAATATTAGTGTTCTTTTCAACATTTTGAACTCTTTTCCATCTGGTATTTGAGGACTGTGCTACAAAATTGTGCTTTTGAGACCTTATTCTCCCATGTCTCCATTATAGACCCCAGCTCCTATCATTGCTCCTTCCTTGTAAATCTCTTTAAAGGCTGCTTTTTTACCAGCAAGGGAGTTCAAGTCAGAACTGTAACTAGAAGCATAGAGCGATATGATCTAGATAGTGAAAATCAAACCAACAGTGCCGGGAGGGTAATACTGATTCTACTTACAACTCCATTGCTTTTGATTTGTGAAAACTGGATAGTCAGAGTCACAAGCAGAAGCAGAAAAATTAACCAATCAGAATGCCTGAGATCTAGTATTGTGATTGGTTTGTTGTCCCGCTTCTGTTTCATCCTCAACAATCAGGTTTTTTACAGGATCATAAGCTACAGAGTTGTAAGTGGAATCAGAAGTAGATTGAAATATTCCAGTTTTCTGACTCCTATTCTGTCAAGTTTATGACTTGGCTTACAATCCCAACTTTCAATTTTCACTAGGTTGTAAGCACTGCAACAACTCTGAATATGACGCTGCGTCTGTTGCCAGTGAAACCTGGCTTAAAGGAAGAGGGTCCCCTATACCTCTTCTGAAAACAGTTTCATGCAAAAGTAATTGGCCTTCTCATGCATCACAAAAAATTCAAAAAACAGCTTCTCGTTCACAGAAAAAAGTAAGCAATCACGTTTCATGCGAAAATGCAAAGGCTAAATCATGTTTCACGTAAAAATGCAAATTCTATTCACGTTTCGCAAAACATAC